AAACAAACGTAAAAATAATTAATATTTCAATTTGAAGAAATCAGAATCTATAAAAAATTAAATCATGAAATCAGTGTCATCTCAACATGAAGAAAACAATCATAATCATTCCATAGTAAATTCGATTCATTAGAACCAAAACAATACAAAATATATATATTATCAAAACTATATGTTTAGGTTAACGAATATGAGTTTTAATGGTGTGGCCGAAGCTCTATATTTATACCTTAATATCTAGGGCAAACCGTCATAATTATTTCTTAAATTTTAATTTTTAAAAATTAGAAATTTTCTTGATAAAAATATTCGTAATATATTTAGAATTTACCTTACTATTTAAAAAAAAAAAAGAAAACGAAAATTCCGTATTCTAAATCAAAATTGAAACAATCAAACCCTAAAGTTTTCTCTCACGATTACAAAAATTTTTTAAAGCGATTGAATTACTTAAAAGCCCAATATCTATTTAACAATTTCATCACGATAGACATACCTATGCAATCTCGACCGATCTCGTTTTAGAGAACTCTGTTTTTCTCGAGCTTCAAAAGAGACCCAGTATATTTTAGAAAGTAAATTAATTAATGTTAGTTTCAAAAAAACAAAAAGAAAATCATATAAATAATTCATAATAAAATACAAATATATATAGTTAGATTAGAGATTACCTTCTCGTAGTCATCTAATCCCACACATTCCCTTTCTCTTTCCTTAACAGTTTCCCATATCAAAGACTCAATATGCCTCTCTAGCTCATCAATCTTCCCGTTCCCATGCTTCTTAGTCCCGAACACAACATATCTTGCAACCACAATTTTCAACAACATTACATTATATATGTTCATTCACTTAACTTGATATATTATATAGAGAAATTATTTTGAATCCACTTACGTGAACCCATTGAGGTGAAGAGGATGTTGTTGTGAGTGATGGCCTTTTGAAGACATCTAAGCTTAGGTGTAATTTACCCCCGTCGAGTACGTGTACACTATCCCTAAACATCATTTTTTCAATAAAATTACTCATACAAAATAAATATATAATAAATTCTCAAAGCGAACTTAGAAAAACGGTGAGAACCAAAAAAAAAAATCTTAGTTTCTCTCAGTCAGCACAATTGATCATAAATTATTAACGATCCACGCGTGATCATAATCCAAACACTGTACATAACAGAAAGAAACACAAACATTTAAATAGGTAAATAGATGTAAAAATACCTTTCCAAACCTCGTTCTGTTATCATCAACACCACTTTCGTCCAAAAGCTTTGTCGATAGAACCTCCCACGCTCTACAAAACTGAAACACATACCAAAAGAATCAAATCAGCAAAACAATAAATTAACAAACTAATGTAAAAAATAAAACAAACAGCAAAGAATATGCACACGACCTCTAAAGGTCCATGAAAACAATATATGCATGACAAACAACTCGATTTATCAAAATCGTAGCTGTATAAAAAAACCATAATGGTGAAAACTATCTAATGGGCACAGAAAAAATAATACCTAATTCTCTGGCCGATCAACAATATATATAGCTTTAAGATTAGGGCAAACATCAATTATTATCTTAAGAAATTTAACTTTTTAATTAGAAACAAAATCAGAAAACTAACAAAAACGAATATTAACTACTAAGATATAGAATTATCCAAAAAATTAACAAATAAATTTAAGCTAAGATTCCATAATCATTAAAGTCGAGACATTATGACATCCGTATCCCTAACGATTACACTATAAAATAAAAAAATTTAAGGGTGATTAAGACTAATCATCTCAAAACACGTTTAGACTTATATACCCTTAACAATTAAGAACAAAAATTTTCGAAATTGAGGGTGTTTGAGACATTACTATAGAGATCAACACACGATTAGACTTATATACCCCTAATTACGAAGAAGAAGAAATTTCGAGAAGAACAATTCATTAAGGGTGTTTAGGACAAATCATTCTAACTTTTAACCACAGGCCTCCAATGCCCTAACTTTCAATATGGTGCGTTTCTACTTCTCAAATAATTATTGTAGAGATAACGAGTTATGAATAAAGAGGCTTCGAGAATTATTTTCTCTGTTATTGATGTATTCCATAAGATATAAGATACATATAGAGATATAATCCTATACTAATATTTGGGAAGTACATTCTAAGGATCATAACGTTGATTTTGTAAGAAATTACAATATATGCCATTAGATAATTCTAATCATAATCATTTTATTTCATGTCACTAATATATATTAACGGGTCAACGGGTCAAACGGGTTTAAAGATATTAAAAGATTTTGTTATATGTAATTCGAATTTATAAAGAAAATGTTATTTTGAGTTATAGTAATCATATATTAACGTCCTAAGTTATTAATAAATTATTCAAAAATGTTATATACTAATCCATTATTCGAAAATGTTATTGAAAATGATATATCATTGAATTTTTTTTATATAATTCGAATTTATAAAGAAAATATTATTTTTAATTATAGTAATCATATAGTTAGAAAATGTTATTGAAAATGTTATATACTAATCCATTATTCGAAAATGTTATTGAAAATATTATTGAAAATTGAAAATGTTATTGAAAATTGAAAATGATATATCATTGAAAATGTTATATAATTCGAATTTATATAAAAAAAGTTATTATTCACGTATAGAGTTAAGCAAAAGGTATATTATTCGAATTATATCTAAACAAAAGGTATTATTCGAATTGGTGTATTACTTCAATTCGTAATCTTTGAAAATATTTTCAGTTTCCTTAAAATCTTTTATCATCAATTATTGATTTCGTTTGTTATATTATGTTTCTTATAATTTAAAATTTTGTTTAGCTTAATCACGCATGGATATAATCTGTAATTCAGTTTCCTAAAAATCCTTTAAAATATATTTTCAAATCTTTTTGTTATATATGTTATGATTCTAGATTCCTACTAATCTAGAATATACTTTTTACTAACTATTGTCTAACTAATTTAATCTAACTAATATATTTCCAGATCACCTAGAAATATGAGTTAAGTTAAATTATTTTGGAAAACATATGAATTAAAATTGTTCCCATCATGATTTAAAATTAAATAACAAAATACATAACAAAATCCATATTCTATATTTCTAATATGATTTTAATACTAAACTAAATTTCCGGGAAAAAAAAATTCATAGTTATAGGAATATATTTGGTAAGATTGCAATCTTTCGATATTTTAGCAAATACAATTTAAACATAACTACAAAATATGGAATATAATCCTATCAAATAACAAAATTACGGAATGCTGATTTAAAATTTTTTATACATTAAATTGAAGATTAAATTGAGATATTTGAATTTATGAGAGCATATTCCTAAACATAAACTAAATATTGATGTATTCTTTTCTAACTTAAAAAAAAATAACAATGCATAAGCCGACCTTTTTTTATTATATATAGAGCATTTCATTTTTATCATTCTAAATAACCTAAAGTTACTCCAAAAAAATTGCTCACAAAAGACAAAAAAGCAAAAAATGGTTGTTGGATTCATATACCACAACGACATTTCAAAACAAAGTGGCACATCCAGGTCAAGATCCTCCACCCATGGAAGCAATATACAAAGCATACCGTAGATGAATATGTAAGTCTCTAAAACTATAGTATTGATGAACTATCTATATATACATTTTTGGAACACTTTTAGCAAATAAATTCTGGGGTTGGGAGTATTTACAAAGAATGCCATTGGCATTTACTATTACTTTTACAAAATTTAAATAAAAGATATTAACCAAACAATATCTTGCCTAATTTGTTTCTAAAAATCTCTACACAATCTTTCCATATATCTTCAAAAACATTTATAGCAAATATTTATATTAACATTTTACATAGCAATAAAAATACTAATTTATAATAATCAAAATATTCACATAGAAAAATCAAATACACATACAGGAAAAAGAACTATATCTATCATCATTTAAGTCGTTGCTTTATTTAAATAAATAAAAAACACAAAAACTTGAAATCATATACTTTATATGATAAATTTAAAATATATATTAGTAGTATAAATTTAAAATCGTTCAAAGAACGGTATACTACGGGTGAGATCATAAAATTATTAGATTTTATAACAATAATAATTTATTTTCTTGGATTTTATAATACTAATAATTTAGCTAACGAGATAATATAGACGGGTTTATATGGGATGACGGGTTTGGGTCGATATTAATAAATAATGGTATATCACGGATGAAATCCTAAAATTAACAATCAAAATACAATTATACAATCTTAAACACAAAACAAAAGAAACAATATTAACAAAACAAATCCAACTTAAATTTAAAATTTTTATTTATAAAAAAACCGACCCACGATATACTGCAGAGTAAAATATTCAAAATTTTAAAATCCACCATACATCGTTACTTAAAAAAAATGTATGTTTTCGTATCTATACTACAAAAATTGATAGATAGATATCTACATTTAAAAATACAAATTAATATGATATATCTTCAGTTAATCTTTTAAAAATTAACATTATATTTTTTAAAAAAAATATAGCCCTGCGGTATACCGCGGGTTAAATTCTAGTAGTAGGGTTTAAGTTAGATAGCAAGTAATCTAGAACATTCTATAATCTACTCATGAGTCATATAATGAGCATCCATTTTTTTTTTTTTGGCACCCAATGGGCATATGTTTAACATATATGATATAACACTTGCAAGATTTTTGTTGTAGCTTAAACTTTTTGGTTTTTGTTAAGGTGTTTGTGGATCACATAAAATTTGTAAGGTTGAATTCATTTGGTTATATTTTATTGGTCAACCATACTTTTTGACACTATCATGTTTGTGTTTCAATTTAACAAATCATAATTAAGGCCATAAGAAAATACTAACCACACAAATAACTATATACACTGCACTATTGATGTCATTAGATTCAAATTGGAGTTTCATATTACTCAAAAATGAATCGTTTTCTAATTTTTATGTTTGTTGTTGCGACATGTTTTGGATTGAATGTAGCATTTGACATGTTCCCATGTCCGAGTAACACTATTCTAATTACGAACGAGCTTGGTCCCAGTTTGGTTCTTCAGTACCATTGTCATTCAAGAGACAACAATCTAAATGTCTCCCAAATTTACAATTCAATGAAACAAAGGTAATCAACTTCGGAGACAAGTTAGGGAGAAGGACAAGATGGACTTGTCTTTTGAAACACGGCTTATACATGCGATATTATTCAGAATTTATAGGATACCGAATGGGCAACGTTCGTCGATGTGGTCATACACGTCATTGGATTGCCAGAAAAGATGGAATTTATCTTACAAGAAATCAAAATCCGCCACCACTGTTCCATCATGGATGGAATAAAACTAATTAATGTTTATGACAATGATATTTTTTTTTCATCTTTATAATCTACGTCAACATTCTACGTAACCTATGGTAATTATTTTCAGTAAATAAAAAATTCTTTAGTTAATGTAATTTAGAAAACGCTTAGCGTATTAACAATTACCTTTGAGATTCAACATATTTATTATTCCAATAATCATAGATTTTGTTTACAATTTTTATTTTCTTAAAACTTTTGTTAATGTATAAATTAAGTTAAATTTAGTATTGAATTATTTAGTAATTAAGGCTAGGCATTTTTTTTTTGAGAAATTGTTAAAAATGTCTCCTTAGTTGCTCTTCAATGGTCTCGTGTTTACCTAGCTGCGTCGTCTTTCTTCTTTCCCCTTTTCGATCGACGGTGGTGGCTCAATTTTGAGTAGTGGCAATTTCGGTGGCTTGGCGTCGGATATGAGGAGTTAATTTGCAGATCTATGGTGTTCTTCGTTGGTTTTGCTCTCATGTGGCTCAGTCAAGGTTTGTTGCTGCTCGGATGCTTTCTTCCGTTTTGGGGGTAGAGTTTTAGATTCTCCGTTTGGGTGGAAATTCTCTGATCTGTTTTCATTGGCTCTGTTCTCGTTGGATTGGGAGTTGGTGATGGTATGTTGCGTGCTCCGGCTGCATCTGTGGCAACGGCCTCCGTCATTTATCTTCAGGTTGTGTTTTTGCCTTTGGTTAATTGCTCTGTTGGTTGGACGTGTGTATCTTCTAGGTTTGGTTGTGTTTTAATTTGGTTGAGGAGTGAAGCCTTAGATTCAAGATTAGGGTTGGCATTATTAGCTTTTATCTCTGCCTCGCTGTTATCCTCCCTTCTGGATTCTAGTGGTGTGAGATGGTGAAGGTTTCGTTTTGTGGGTTCTTCCTTCGGATGGTAGTCTTCTGCAAAGGCACCTACTAGCTCTTTTCCTTTTTGGTATGAGTTTTAGACGATGCAGGTGGCTCGGTCTTCATTCCTTCTCTTGCGTGGCGTAACCAGTTCTTAGCCTGTAGGTGGCTCTGGCTGGGTCTACGAATGTCCGCGTGTAAGTAATGGTGATCCTCTTTGAAGTTTTCCCCTTCGGATTTCAAGGTTTCTCTTTGTCCCTTCGCCTTCTTGTGCTCTCTGGTTTTTGGAGTGGTAGTGATGGTTAGGTTCTGTGCTCTAAGTCTCTTGTTCATCTGTGTTCGGTTCTGCTGGAGTTGTGGTTGTGTGAGTTCAGGTTTGTACCCTTCTCGGGCTTTCTCTGTTGAAGGCAATCTAATGATGGGTCCTCTTCGAAGCTCCTGTTTGTATCTTCTCTCCAGCGCCAAAGCTGTTCTATGGAATTGTTCGTCGGGTGCTTTTGGTGTAGAGTTTCAGTTGTGAATTGCTTTTGAGCTTTTGTTTTATGCCATTGTCCCTTTTCTTTAAGGTTTTTTCTCTCTTTTATGTCTGTCCTTTGGGACCTTTAGTCTCTGGGGGTTTATTTGTACCCGCCGGCTTTGTTTTCGGAAAGATCTATGTCTTTGCCGTGATGTATAACTCAAATGTATCCCATCAATGAATCATTTAGACGAAAAAAAAAAAAGAGTCCATTTTTAAGTTTGCCCTCTTTTAATTTTTAATGACCATTTTACCCTTATTTGAAACAAAATTAGGTCCACAAAATACAAAATATTTTTTGGCGGGAAAAGTGATCCTGCAATTTTCCCGCCAAAACACTTGTAAAAACCTTTAAAATACCTTGTAAAATTTTCCCGTAAAAATTTTTCCCGCCAAAAATTTTTTTTTGCGGGAAAAGTGATTCCGCAATTTTTTTGGCGAAATTTTTTTGGCGGGAAAATTTTTGGCGGTAAAAATTTACAAGGTATTTTAAAGGTTTTTACAGAGTATTTACAAGTGTTTTGTAAGGTTTTACAATGTATTTTAAAAGGTTTTACAAGGTACTTATAAGGTTTAGGTTTTATAAGGTATTTATAACTTGTAAAACCTTATAAAAAACTTGTAAAACCTTATAACTTGTAAAACCTTATAAAATAGCTTGTAAAATCTTATAATATCTTATAAATACGTTGTAAAACCTTTTAAAATACATTGTAAAACCTTATAAATACCCTGTAAAAAACCTTTAAAATACCTTGTAAATTTTTTCCGCCAAAAATTTAACGCTAAAAAAATTGCGGAATCACTTTTCCGCAAAAAAAAATTTTTGCGGGAAAATTTTTGCGGGAAAATTTTACAAGGTATTTTAAAGGTTTTACAAGTTTTTATAAAATCAAATTTGTAATTTTGATATGTGCACATTCTCATGTTTACCTTATATATTTGTGATATTTTTTTATTAAAAGAAGGATAATTTAGTCATTTTGTACATAAAAAGGGGTATTTTTAAAAATGGACAGCCAAAGGGGCATTTTTGAAAAGGGGTATTGAAAAAAGGACATTTTTGTTAGTCTCCCTTTTTTTTTTACTTTTTTTTTTGGCAAAGCAGGGTAGAGTCTAAAATTAACTTTTTCTCATTTGCAACTTCCAGAAGGCCAAATAGTCACTAATCTTTTTTTTTTTTTTGATAAAATGGTTAATAGTCATTAATCTACATGACATGCAAATTCAAAAAGCTTAAACCTATAACAATCACAAATTTTAATACATTGATTAATCATTGTGATGACCGGTAGGTATATATATATATCATTAGTTAATTTTCATTGTAAGCTCACTGAATCTATGGCAGTTTTTTTTTTTGTTAATATTCATTGCAAGTTTATTATACATATATATGGTAATATCAGTATGGGATTTCTACTTAACCATAGAAGTTGGTCTTTTTTTTTTCTTAATTGTGTCGAACATTTTTCTTTAAGCCTTGTTTGTTTGAGAGGAAGGATTGACATAACCATGTGAATGTATCATTTATTTACTTAGCCTTTTGAATGTTCCACGTGATTGCTCCTTCTCTGTCTTCTCTTCTTCCGCATGATCACTGGAAGCTGATGAGTCAGATTCTTGGTATGAGCATCGCTTTCCATAGAATGGTAACAATCAGAGATATCAGTATTTTTCAACCTATTGAATTAGAGTATTATACTATCTTGAAAAGACTATTAACATAGGTTTAACAAAAATGTTACACAATCTGCCTCTTCACATGTTTATTATCAAAACCCAATTTATTAAAATCATAAAAACTTGCTACACATTAGCAACCCTGTTGGGATAGAGTGTATGTACAGTACAGTACATTAACTATTTATCATTGTTTACTTTTATATTATAGTTGCTCCCTCCACTTTATTTCAAGTGTGTATAATATTCTTTCAGTTTCATAGATAGTGTCGTTTTAAGATTTAATGTGTGTTTTACAAAAAATTTCATTTTATATTTCTAATGTAAAATTTCAAATAAAAATCCAATTTTAACCCTATTGCTTTAAAGTACTAATCTTATTATCTTATTATATAAAGTATGATTTTCAAAGTTAGTAATTCATAAGATTGTGCAACGTGTCAAGTCTATTGATCAGATGTTGACATGTATTAGAAAAAGTTAACTTTTTTTCCCTTAAAAAATAGAAAAACTAAAAAAAAAGACAAATTTATATATACTAATTTATATGTCTTTATCTAAAAAAAATTATTTTTTCTTAACCAAAAGGAAAATTAACCAATTTGTTTTTACATGTGTTATTGGTCAATTAAATTTAGCATATATTAATTTTTGAAAAAAAAATTAGTATGGATATTAACTAATTAAATAAGCCCATTGAAGTTTAAAATAAAAATATAATTTATTTAACATTAATTTAATTGGATAAAATTGTATTTATCATTGTAATATAGTGTTTTCATTTGTTAAATTAAAACACAAAAAAAATTAATGAGCTTATGATAATAACTTTTTGAATACTTATGTTTTATTCTAAAGTTTTTAACGCATCATGTGATGGAGGTGCTTGCATCATTTGATGTGTTTCCGCAAGCTTATACTTATGTTTTATTATAAGAATTTTAACGCATGTAGTCATAAGTGAAAACACAATTTTTTTAGAAAAAATGGCTTATAGGATTGACTTTTAAATTACTTAATGAGAAGTTAATATGTTTTTTTATTAATTTTAGCTCATTTAAAATTATATTGCATGAGATAAAACTAACTTACGAGATTACGCCATAAATAAAAAATATATATGTTAAAAATGTTTGTTATCCAAATACTTTTGTGGATTTCTGTTTTTTTGTTAATTATGTTTTGTTAATTGTTAATTATTTTTAATATTAACTAAGCTATAGATTTGATCTGATATAAATATTATTTTGATATAAAATTGTTATCACTTAAGATGAAGTGTGTAGAATTATAATCAAGTTTATTATGATAAAATAGATAGTTAAACTGTATTGCAAAATTCAAATACTATAGTTAAAATTTTACAGTTATATCTTATATAAGTATATTAATAGTTATATATATATATATATATATATATCACACTTTTCTCTCATTATATCTATATATACATTTTTGGATGACTTTTAGCAAATAAATCATGGGGTTGGGAAGTATTTACAAAGAATGCCATTGGTTGGGTGGGTTTTTTTTTTAAACGATTGGCCCGGATATTAAGCATCGGATCTCTTCTGTTTCTTCCCAAAAACGACATTAATTTAAATTTTCGAATTAAATATTTGACCATTTAACAATCTTCCCAAAATCTCTCCATATAACTTACACGATTAGTTACTAAAATAAAACCTCCGAGATATTTGCTAGCATTTAATCACTACCAAATTAACAATTTCCATTTTCCTATTTTGCATTTCCTATTTTAAAGATTCGTCTCAAAATATTAACTCCACGATTTGGAAACAAATTTCAAATCTGATGCTCAACTATTTGCCATAAAAATCTCCACAAAATATTGAATCCATTTTCTCGACAATCTCTCGACAACAGAAACTATATGATTGTATTAAAAACGGATTTGGTGAATATTCCTGAAAAATCCGATTCAAAAGATTTGATTCTAATTCAGTTTAGGTTGCAAATAAATTTTACTTGGTCACCAATAGATTATTGACTTAATCGGAACTCGCCTATAAATACTCTCTAGCTTTACCTCTCATCACATTATCAAACACACAAAGCTCATCACATCTCTTTGGATTCAGAGACAGGAAAAGAAAGAGATGATTCCGGTTGAGAAGGTTACATGAAGTCCTCAGAACAGCAGAGGAGACGAAGTGGTTTGTCAGATAAGCTTGAAATGGCTTCAAAAACTGAACTTTAAGTTTCAAAATTTCTGGAAATTCAAAAAATCCTAATCTCTAATTGTCATAATGAGGAGACAATAGAGAGAGAGAGGGATTAGATGTACCTAAGATCACAGAAGATTGGCGACAGAAGAATCGCTGAGGGGTCGCGTAGTTTAATCGGAAATCGTAGCCGTAGGAAACAGCGGTTTATATGGTGAGCCTTGAGAGCATCGTCGACCAATAAAGATGGACGACGTCATGGGAATCGCCGGAAAAGGAGAAAGAGATTAGCTTCGAGGACGAAGCAATGGCGATTTTGGTTTCGACGGAGAAAGAGAAAGCCACAGAGGATTCGTAGGCATCGGGTTCAGAAGCTTAGCCTGCCCGAGAATTCGCTGACGAACGTGGTGTTGGCCGGAGTTACCGTTGTCAGAATCATGGTCAGTTTTGCATTGAAGAAATCGAAGAAGATGCTTCGTTATCATCGTTGGGGAAGAAGCAAAGTAAAAGAGGAAAAAAAGTTTTGTTGGGTTGGGCCTGTTAAAGAGAATAAACAAGTAGACTGAGCCCAATGTAGAGTTTATGAGATAATGGGCCCAGTCTTCTTTTTCTGGCCCAAATACAATAGTCTTCTTCTGATGGTGAAGTTGAGCCAAGTAATGTTTTGGGCCAAGTAATATCACAAGCGATGCCAGCACAAGAAAGACGTGAGAGATACAGAGAGAAGTTGAAACATGTTGTGATCAATATCATACTATGGGCTCATTATAAAAGAAAATAAATTAAAGATAAAAAGTATGAGTTTGTTTAAGGCAAATCATCATTTCTATATTTGACATTACTTAGGGTAAAAAAAAAATTACTTCCACAATTATATATATTGTAACCAAAGTTTTCAGATTTTATATTTAAAAATCAGAAGAACATAACAGTGGATATTTTATTTACGCCACAAGATTAAGCTATGCAATTTTTGGTGTTGGGTAGTGAATTAATTAGTATATGTCTTTTAGTAATAAAAATAATTTGAAATCTAAGAGGTATAAAATTAAAAAATATCACTAACAATATACACATAACTAGACATAATACAAATAGTGTACTTATACATTCAACAAACTATAATATTCTTTACAAAAAAATATTCCAGATATAATAAACGGTGACAACTTTAATATATATGATATAAACTCAATTTATATTTTATAATAGAAAACCATAAATATATTTATTTATTTTTTGACGGCAAAAACCATAAATATTAAAATAACATAATTTTAGAAAAAAAAATTTGCCCCGCGGTGTACCGCGGGTTAAATCCTAGTTTCATTACATTTTGTCTTCGTTTTCTATAAAAAGATTAAACGATGCAATCTCCTATCTATGTTTATTCCAAAGTTACAAGGGTTTAACCTAAGTATCACCCTAAAACAAATGAACGTAGATATCATCAAAGCAGTAGGTCTACAAAATTACCGGGATGTAATATTTTACGGAGAAGTCAATGTGGGAGACCTAGGCCAATCATTCAAGATGGTGTTTGATCTTGGAAGGAGCGATCTCTGGGTTCCTTCACTATTGTAGCCTTACAGTGGACACCCGAAATTTAATGTCTCAAAATCAAGCACTTACATTTCTAGTCTTATTATCTAAAGTATAATTTTCAAAGTTAGTACTTCATAGGATCGTGCCACGTGCCAATTTTCTCAGATATTGACACGTGTAAAATAAAATTTTCATTTCATTAATTTTAAAAGTATAAAAGAATAATTGTAAGAAATTATAAATTTAAACAATTTTAAAAATGTAAAAAGATCATTACAAAATAACTATACTTATATATCTTACAAACAAAATGTTAAAAAAATTATAAGGAAACTATATGTATCTTATTATATATAAAAAAATTGAAATTATAAACTCATTTACTTATTCTAATTTGAAGTTAATATTCTAAAAGAAAAAGGATTACTTTTGCCTTCAAAATTAAAAAGAGATTTTAAAAAATATACAATTAATTAATAAAATACGATAATTAAGGAAATTACACAATCAATTATTAATCCTCAAAGAAAAAAAGATTCTAAATACTCACCTCTATATAAACAAATAGATAGTAACATATTTTCTCACCAAGCAAAAAATTTCTTCAAAAACACCACCATTGCTTCAACTTCGTTCTAATGATGAAGCAATTTTTTCTTGGGAAAAATTTATTATCTAGAGGTCATATGTTTTATTTCAATATATAGATCATATGTTATATTGATGCCTATTTGTCACAACTATATTAAGAGGCTAATCTTTGTCAATATATTTTTTTAACTATTTATATATGTTTACGTAACTAAAACCAGTGGTAAAGAACATACTTCAACATTAAAAATAATTAGATGAAAAAAAACATTTAGTAGCAAAGTAAATAGTAAATTTGTTAATTGATGTAAATAATCAGGATTTAACATATGGTTTGTATCTAAAACACTTACTAAGAAAGTTGTTAAATTATTTTTGGCGAAAATGGAAAACTATGTTTTGGCAATAATAATAATGATAAATATTTGACAAAAGTTTGGTGTTTGCTATTGAAATTTACTAAACTATTATAATAAACTTTACAATAAATTTAAAGTATAGAAATGCAAATTGATGTATTAAGGTAAAACAATGATCAATGAATATATAAATAACTTTTTCTCTAAATAAAAAAAATATATTTTTTAATTTTTAATGATAATTTCTACTTAGAACCAAACTTAATTTTAATTTAATTTATTTTTAAATTTGATTTAATTAAAAAAATGGTCCTAATCTAGTATAATATAATAGATAAATTTATTAGTGTATTAATAATGGGAAAAGAAGAATTTTTACTAGTCTCTTTTCTTAATATGTGCGAAAACTGTAAAGTAACATTTTTGTGAGATAGATGAGTAGTATTCAACTTATTATTACATATCAAAAATGATTAATTGACATATGTGATTATGCTCTTCGTGAAACATCCCATAAAATTGGCATATGTGACTTTCTCTCATTGAGCTAGAATTCCTTTTTTTGTTCTACCTAAAATAGATTACTTAACCGATGTTTGAAAAATTTAAAAAAAATATCAAAAAAGAATTATGAATCAACTTCCACATTTGTTGTCTTGACAAAACAAGATCGAAACTAATAAATGATTCAATATCATGGATCTCTCTCAGCAACATGAGTTAACCTGGCTTGGAAGAACTTATAGTCAGACTTAAGTTCTAGCACTCCCAAGCATTCTTTAGATGGTGAAACCTTCTAGAGCCACCGAGAATGACCAAACCTTACGCTATCGAAAGGTATGACACATATATAGCTGAAACACTTTTAATTATTATAGTTTTTGATATGTCATATGTTCAAAATTAGTTCCAAAAATAACTACGGTTTATTCATAAAATCATGTTTTGCTTACTTGACACATGTACAATGGAGTTTTCTAATAGCATTTACAATATTATTGTCATGGTACTCATTTCCAAATTCTTTCTTTAGAATATATATAAACATGTCAATAATAAATAAAATGTGTATTACATTATGACTCATATTTTTAGTGCATGGCATGTTAAATTTGTAGATTCTTAAGAACAAAATTGTGATTTTACCTCCACATCAAAATTGAAAGGAAAAAAAAGTCTGCTAGACTAGTGGACCCAAAAAAAAAAAATGTTGATATGATAAATATTGTTCTGGAAAATTTAATTATCCAATCAAATTATTACTGAAAATATGATTTTCTACTAGCTAGATTGATTAAATATAAAATTTAAATAATTATTAAGTACCAAAATGATTAAAATTCACTAAATAATTATTAAGTACCAAAATAATTAACAGCTTGTAAATTACTCCCATGTGACTCTTTCTATAATTGACTCTGAACCACCACATCTTTTTCTCTGTTATAAAATCCAAAAATTCACAGTGAAGAAGAAAATCAAATCAACAACAATGGAAGAAGAATCTCAAACCCTAATTCTCACAATCCTAATCCTAATCCTCACTCTCACAATTCTCCTCATCAAAAAACTCAAACCAAAACCAAATCTTCCTCCATCTCCACTGTTCTCACTTCCAATCATCGGCCACCTCCGCCTTCTCAAACCACCGCTCCACCGTATCTTCCTCACCATCTCTAAATCCCTAAACAATTCTCCGATCTTCTCCCTCCGTCTCGGAAACAAACTCGTTTTCGTCGTCTCTTCAAACTCAATCGTCGAAGAATGCTTCACCAAAAACGACGTCGTTCTCGCGAATCGTCCAAAGTCAATTGCTTCTAAACACATCTCGTACAATTACTCATCTATGGTCTCAGCTCCGTATAGTGAACATTGGAGAAATCTCCGCCGTATCGGCGCCGTCGAGATTTTCTCCAGTCACCGGCTTAATAGCTTTTCCTCTATCCGCCGGGACGAGGCCCGGCGACTTATAGTTCGTCTCTCTCAGAACTCTTCACTCGTATGTGAGCTTAATTACTATATTTAGACAATCACTAATTTGGTTATTAAGCTTACTTACTAATTTAGGATAGTAATCTCTTGTTTAGTCTCTGTTTAGGTTAAAGTTTTCTGAATTGTGTCACTGAAATATGCAGGAATTCGCAAAGGTTGAGATGAATTCAATGTTATCTAATTTAGCATTCAACAACATTATTAGAATGGTGACTGGAAAATGTTACTATGGAGATGGTGCAGAGGATGATGCGGAGGCTAAACGCGTGCGGCAGCTTATCGCGGAGGCGATGAGTTGTTTTGGTGCCGGACACGCGGCAGATCATTTACCGGTCTTGAGATGGATTACAGGTTTCGAGAGGCGGGTAAAGAAGATTGCTGGTAGGCTTGATGAGTTCTTCCAGGAATTGGTTGATGAGAAACGAGCGGCAAAGGAGACGGAGAATACGATGATTGATCACTTGCTTTCTTTGCAAGAATCCCAACCTGAGTACTATACAGACCACACCATTAAAGGAACTATGCTCGTAAGTAATCCGAGAATAGCATTTTAAGTTCGTAAGTTGATTTTGAGTCATTGGTAACATTTGGTTTATTTCGTGTATGTGTGCAATGTGCAGTCTCTTATACTTGCGGGGACTGATACATCAGCGGTAACATTGGAGTGGGCATTGTCGAGCCTGTTGAACCATCCCGAAGTACTAAAAAAGGCGAGAGATGAAATCGACAATAAAATTGGCTTAAACAGGCTTTTGGAAGAATCAGACGTTCCAAATCTTCCTTATCTTCAGAACATCGTCTCTGAAACGTTGCGCTTGTACCCCGCAGGGCCCTTGTCCGTCCCGCACGTCGCATCAGAAGTTTGTAAAGTAGGAGGTTACGATATGCCGCGTGGCACGATGTTGTTGGTGAATGTGTGGGCTATACATAGAGATCCTAAGCTATGGGATGATCCAGCGAGTTTCAAGCCAGAGAGGTTCGAGAAAGAAGGAGAGACGCATAAGCTACTAGCGTTCGGGTTAGGAAGAAGAGCTTGTCCTGGGTCCGGACTGGCTCAACGGCTAGTGAGTTTGAGTCTCGGGTCTTTGATTCAATGTTTTGAATGGGAGAGGATTGGCGAAGAAGAGGTGGATATGACTGAAGGTGGAGGACTCACTATGCCTAGAGCTAATCCGTTGGTAGCCATGTGCAGAGCACGTGCCTTTGTTGGTAAAATCCTACACGAGTCCGCTTGACTTTTGTAAATGCTAAAACATGTATTTAGGCAACGGTTATGTTTGTATGTTGGAGTAATTATACCATTTGTACTACAGTAAACTAAAACTTCTAAAATTAAAAATGTCAATAAAAAGGATGGATATACAAGATAAAATCGATTATGACAAAAAACCATGTATACTAATCTAACTAGATAACAACTCGCACTATGTGCGGGATGAAGTGATTCAAGTAAAATTATTATGATTAAAATTATTATCTGGG